GCATATCAAAGATGTTTTAATATGTATTAAACCCCAAAACCAAACCCACTGCCATCAAGTTGATTCTGACTCATAGTGACCCTATAGGACAGAGCAGAACTGCCCCATAGGGTTTCCAAGGAGTGGCTGGTAGACTTGAATTGTTGACCTTTTGGTTCGCAGCCAAGCTCTTAACCATTGTGCCACCAGGGCTCCTAATATGTATTAATTCTTTATACATATTACTCTCAGCTGCTTACAGGTAATTCACATCAGTGACTTTCTGGGAAGAGCATTTCAAGCATCTTTTCAAACAACGGCAATAGGAGAACTTGGCTCTTGCTGCCGGGCCTGTGGTGCTGCAGCAATTGCTAGGACCCATCTAAGCACACACTGGTGACTTGGTCTTCTCTCCACATGAACCCTCCCTGCCGGAGAACGGACATGTCCCCGTGCTCCACTGGCATCTGTGTGACCAAGAGGCAGCAAGAAGCTTGTCTCATGCAGCCCTTGGCCTGACTTAGCCTCTGCCCATTGTGGACGGGAAGATGGAGACTGGTCAGCTGCCCCACACACGTCCTGCCCTCCCAGAAGCTGCCAGAGCCCGCGTTGGCCCATCCCAACTCCCTGTGCTGGGAGGGTAAGCGTGGCAGTATGTGGAAGAGCGCCCCCTAAGGGTAAGCCTGGTTCTCACCCAGCACAGCCACGTGCCACTGTCCACTGCAGACAAACCACCATCCTCTTCTAGCTCTGGACACAGAACCCTCCTTGAATTTTTCTCTTCTTGTACCTCTGGCTACCATCCCCTGATCTCTTTGCTAAACACTCGTCCTCCTCATCTGACCTCCCAGTGTTGAAAAACCAGGTGTTTGGTCCTGGGCCTCATGTTCATCTCTCCATTCTCTCTTTGGGTGAGCTATCCTAAAGCAATGCCCCTAATCCCCACCTCTCTCAGCTCTGACCCTGACTCTGCATTGCCCTCCCCCTTGGCCCTGACCCTGCATTGCCCTCCCCCTTGGCCCTGACCCTGCATTGCCCTCCCCCTCGGCCCTGACCCTGACCCTGCATTGCCCCCACCCCCCCACAACACTACCCCTACTCGCAACCCTGATCCTGACCCTACATTGCCCTCCCCCTCGGCCCTGACCCTGACCCTGCACTGGCCCCCTCTTCGCCCTGATCAAAGACGTAGTGAAACCCATGTGAAATTGTGCACTACAGATCAGTAAGTAAACATAACTAAGCCTGTGCATACCCTGCTTACTGGTTAATCCGCCCCTGCTCCCGATGGGGCCGTCCAGCAGAGCAGAGCAGACCAGGCTGTCTTTGACCAAGCACACAGCCTGGAACCCCTGGGTTCCTCAGGCCCACTTCCCTCGGAGTCCTTTCTTCCACGCCAGGAAGCAGAGTGCAAAGAACAGCTCGAGGCACGACACAGCACCACAGGGAGCCCAGCTGCTAGGACGGCTAGACCTGCCCTGAAGCAAAGATGGAGGCTAAGAGCTCCTGTGTGCCATCGACCTCATTCTGATCCCGAGACCGGCTCCCACCGCTGTCTCGCCTCACAGGCAGCACAAGGTGGGAAGCGGACAATTAGTTACCAGGAGCGGTAAGTTCCAACAGACTGGTCCAGAGCCCAGTCACAAAATGCAGCAATGCACCCTCAAAGAACACGCTCTCCTTCCACATGGGGGAAATCTCACTCAAAGAAATTAAATTAGGAAAAAGACAGAGGGGATTACATTTTTGGTTTTGGAAGATAGGTTACCTCACAGTGACAATAAAGAATTTCAAAATATAAGCGGCCACTTCAAAATAAAAATGCTGTAAAATACACAGTATCTGTGGCATTAGAAGCACAATTTGAAATCTTCGCACATTTAGAAAGCTTCAAGTTCACACCACACATGGGAACCAATGCCAGGAGCTCTCTGTTAACTGTGACTGTGCTAATTTGCAAGGCTGATGAAATCTCAGAGGAGAGCTGGTCAGGCTTCAGCCCTCCCCACTGGAGACCCTCCTCCCGTTCCCATGACAAGGGAATAAAACACACAATAAAGCCACATAAGGCTTTCCTATGTTTGTTCTTCACTTGCTAAAAGTAGTAGGGATTTGCACCAGACCTCACAGGCCCTGCCACAGACTCCTAAGGTGACAGCTCTATGCAACAGCACTGAGAAGCAGCCTGGGGCAACACTCTCCCCAGGCACACACACGCACCCTCGTGGCTCACGGCGGCCCTGGGAGGGCAGCACAGGGACCAGCCTCAGACTTTTGGCCCATCTAGGAGCACACGGCTCACATGTGGCAGAGGTGAGCTCCCCTGGGAACCCCATGTCCCTGCTGCCTGCCCTGTACTGTGCTGGCCTTTCTCTGACACCTCCCATGATGCTCTCCTGTGCTGCAGGCATACATGTCCCCTCAATGCTGAGCACACAAGGTCAGTGCTTAACAGACACTTGCTGAATCAATTTGGACTTAAAATACAGTGGTCTTTCCATCACACTTTGCTGTCTTCAGGGTTCTTCTTGGCCCTTCTGTTCTCTGTCTCCTGGTCCTGGCTCACAGGCAGCCAAACATCACCGTGTGCAGCAGCCTTCGGGCCTGTTGGCTCACGGCCTTCTGCTCCACAGTGGCTCTGCCCGAGGTCCCAGGAAACCAGGAAAGCAAAACCACACGATGTTCCCTCCCAGAGCAGGACACAAGCAGAGGGACCCAACTGCACTGCCAAGGGGAGAGGCATGGTTCTGGTCCCCTTGCATAGTGACAGTCACCTCCTGAAGCGGCCAGGTGCACATATGAACACCAGCTGCATGCCAGAACTCAGCTGGAAGTCTGCCAAGATGCTGTGTGTGCACGTGTGCGTGTATATGTGCATATGCATGTGTATACTGTGTGTGCGCACATGTATGCACAGGTGCACACGCATATGCCTGTGGCACATCATCTCCCCTTTCTTGAGACTGGCTCTGCCCTAGGCTGGACCTCAGGGTTAGCTCTTGGAGGACCAGAAAATCCCTGGAAGCTGCCTCACTCTGTCTGGAATGAAGGGGCTGGCTTGCAGCCCGGCTGAGAGGAGGCAGTCCTTCAGATGCCCCAAACGGCTCTAACTACTCCGTTCTTTGGGCTACCATCTTTGGGCATCGGAACAAACCACTGCACCTCCCCCTCTGAAGCCTAATGGTTTGTCTAAATAAGCAGCAGGGCTAAAGAGATATAATTCTGGTCTAAGAATTCCAGGCTGGCACCCTCCTGTCTAAGTACTCCCCTCTTTGGGTGATCAGGTGGGAAAACTTGCACTGCATTCTGTGCAGTGAAATATACAACCCCAGGAATACAAAACTGGGAGGGGCATCATAATCTTGTAGGAATCTCAGTCAACTGGCACAATATAAGTCATAAAGTTATGTTGTATATCCTAGTTTGGTGAGTAATGTCTGGGGTCTTAAAAGCTTGTGAGTGGCCATCTAAGATACAACTATTGGTCTCTACTCATCTAGAGAAAAAGAGAAAGAAGGAAACTAAAGACTCAAAGAAGAAACTAGTCTACAGGACAAAGACTCTACATGAACCATGACCGCATTTACCCTGAGACCAGATGAACTAGATGGTGCCCGGCTACCACTATTGACCGTTCTAATCAGAGCCATAAAAGACAGACCCTGATAGGAGAAAAATGTGAAACAGAATCTCAAACTGCTAAAAAGGAAAAAAAAAAAACAGACCTACAAAACTGGTTGAGACTGGAAGATTCCCCAAGACTATCACCCTGAGACACTCTTTAAAACTTGAACCAAAACTAACCCCTGAAGTCACCTTGTAGCTAAATAACAAATTGGCTCAGAAAAATAATGAATGTCACCCTTCAGTACTGTGCTCCTTTAAAAAATCATTTTTATAAGACCAAATGGTCAACAATCACTTTAAAACAAAAATGAGAATATAAGGAGGCAGGGACACCAGATTAATGGAAACAGAACCAGAACGGAAATAATAGGAATGTTCATACATTGTGAAAAATGTAACCAGTATCACTGAACAACTTGTGTAGAAATTGCTGAATGAGAACCTAAACTGCTGTGTCAACCTTCACTGAAAACACAATCAAATATTATTTAAAAAAAAAAAGGAAGAAAGAAACCAGGTGGGGGAAGTTCCTCAGGGTCTTTTTTCCACGGTGTAAAGAGAGGGGTACCTGTGGAAGTCTTCCATCCTGCTGGGCAGCTGTTGAGCCAGGGAGGACTGCTCATGATGGAACTCTTCCTGTTGTATGCTGTCTGTTGTCTGTGAGTAATTACAATGGCTTTCACTATTGCCAAGACTGCTTATGTGCCCTGTGTGTACAACTTGATCAGGATGAACGGATAGTTTCACTATGGAGTGGATGGTACCACTGGGTGGAATTCTCATCCCCATACTCTGGTGGGTACTTGGGATCTGGAGACAGCCTTTAAGGCAATCTGTGTGTGCAACGCACCAGCCTTGGCAGTATGATGGACTTCAACTACTTGGACTAGGACTACCCCTTCAGGCTGCACTCTGCGCCCACGCCACAGGACTCCAGCACCGTCTACAGGAACGAAGAGGAAGCCACAGCAGTTGTCTGGGGCGGACACCCTCCTGTCTTAGTGGCGCCATGACTACCAGTGAGAGTGTAAGCACGACTGGAATGTTCTTGGGAGAAGGTAAGAGTAAAACGGCTGGAGTGCCAGCCCCAGAGGGACTGCTGTGTCTGCCTCATGCCTGGCTCCTAGAAGGTGGGCCCTTGGAGGAGGGGAGACCCAAGAGGATTCTAGAGGGTAAAGGATTGGTGGCAAAGAAGCCCCAGGGGCAGGAAGAAGACAGAAGAGAGTAAGGAGGGTGGGGTGAAAACCCAAGAGGTGAGGCACAAGGAAAGAGAGGAAGGGGGTGGGCGAGGGGAGGGGTGGAGAGGAGGAAGAACACGGAAGGGCCGTATGCCTCAGCAGGACACAGAGCACAGGGCACCTGGAGCTCCCAGGTGTGTTCCGAACTGCGACAGCGCTGCCTCCTGGGCTGCTTCCACTTTCTAGGATGAATATTTTGGCACTATCGGTATCTTGTACAACAAGCAGGGATGGATTTTTAATTCAGACTTTTAAAAAGTTTAAAAAAAAAAAAAAGCCAATGTATGGTTTGCCATCAGAGGGCACTTGAGAGGCTCAGAGACAAAAAACCACCAGTAAAAAAGTACGCATTTTTGAACTGAAAAAGACAATGTGTTTTGTGAGTTCAGTGGAGAGGCATTCTTGCTTCTTACATCTCACAGCTTGAGCGTTCGCAAAGCTCACCAGTACCACAGCTCAGACCACAGTGAAACATTAACTTCCAGCATTTCTCTCCATCAGAGTCAGGGCCACCTGCTACTTGTTCCATCTCAGTGTTTGAAAAAGTGCCCTCTGCTCATCTGGGGAAGGTGCCAGCAGAGTCGCCTCCCTCGGCACGCGATTCACTTAATGGCACACAGCACCTCATTTTGGAAAGACAGCTTTTCAAGACTTCATTCTAACCCAAATGTGACCATGAGCGTTTATGCTAATATCTGTAAAAACTGCCCAGAATCTTCTCAATACAAGGGATTCTTTCCCCCAAAGATCAACCTGTGACTGTATCTCAACCACTTCTGTGGGCACAGCACTACACTTGGGGATAGTCAGTGCCAAGTCCCATCACCTCTCTGTGAGCCTGTCTCCTCTTCTGTGCAGCAGGATGACGCCTCATCTCCAAGCTGCAGTGAGGATGATGAGGAAACGCTCATGGAAGCCTCCTCAGGCAACAGGTGTGCAAAAACTGGTCTCTCGTCTTGACAGCCACAAACAAAAGCAGCTCAGCTGGGTTGTAACTGCGAGCAGCCGGCCTGCTGTCTGCATGAGCCCGGGGCGCTGCATCCTGAAGTTCTGATCCTAGGTGCTCGGCCACTACGACAGAGGTCACTGTGACCTTTATCAGGATATGGAACAGCCAAAGAGGGTCCTTCAGCGTTCCCAAAGAGTCAACACCAGACTAAACCTCCAGGTCTGCAAGCCCATGCTGGTAAAGCAGCCAAATGAGAGGAACATTCTTTCATAGAGACACCAACCTGTGCAAGGTGCAGGGTAGGACAGGTGATGGCAAAAAGGTCTGTAATCAAATCAGGGTTCAAATCCCACCCCTGAGGCTTACTAGCAGTGGGACCTTGAATATAGGATGTGACCTCAATTTCTCTATCTGTTAAGAAAACACACTCTCATCTCAGGGGTGTTGTGAAGAGTCTGTGAGACAGCACTCATGACAGGGTTCATACGACACCTGACCAGTAGGAAGTGCTTAATAATGCCCACGTCATGCCAGGCGCGGTGGTGGCTGGGAGTGGCAGCCTGATGGGAAGTGGGGATGACTGGCAGCCCTCTCCTCAGGCCTCCGAGGCCCTCGCAGGCACAAGGTGGGGCTGGCTTGCACATCTAAGATCTGAGCAGAGTAAGGCAAAGACAGTTGGCCAACAAGTGAGCTGTGTGTGAGCAAATGAGTGAGGTGAGCTTGCAATCATCCAATGGTGGACTTCCTGGGGTGAGATACTGGCAAATAAGCCAAATACATCACAAAGTCGGGCACTTGCAAAACGAACTGCAAAATGCAAGAATGTGATGGCTTTCTTAGGGGCTCTGGGTTCACTACACAAGGAACAAAAACTTGAGACTGGTCCAAAGCCCCAAGGACTCCAAGCCCTTTGTCCCAACTCAGACTCACGAGTCACGCATTTCTCACCACCAACAGCTTATGTGCGACACTAGGAGGCTGAAAATAATGTGAGGAGAGAAAGCAAGTATATCTGTATGTAATTAATTGCTTTTTTGCCACTGGCAGTCTGCTCGCTAGCGCAATGCCAGCCGGACACACGCCTTCTTCTGTTAAAGACTTCCTCCCACCTCAACACCGCTGCCCTGGCCTGGCATGAGACAGTGCCTGCGCCACGGCCACCGACCTCTGGAAATGCACATGGAAGCTCTGCTGATGTCCCACTAGCAGGACCTTAACTGATCTGTGGGGGCTCTGCAGAAGGCAGGCTAAAGGCCACAGTAGGTCCAGAAATCTCTCCGGACTGCTCAGAGTCAGTAAGGTACTCAGATTCCCAATCCTGGTTTGAAGCAGCACCCCGCTCTCAGCACCCTTCATGGGCCCTGCTAGCTGGGGCTCTTCTGTCCAGGCTTGAGGCTGTGACAGGGAGCGTCAACGGATACGTGCCCATGCATGGCATGGTCAGACGGCCACGTGGCTACCTGAGTCAAGGGCACTGGAGACCACCCGAGCTGTGCAGCTGGAAAGAAGGACAGAGAGGCAGCCCCTCAGCCTGCAGGCCACGGGGCAAGGCCATGCTGCTCTGCTCAATGATTGGCTCCTTGGCACAGGGCCCAGCTCTACGCAAACCCTTCCTCCCAGAGCTTCACCTGTGCCCACGATGCCCTCACATCCCAGCACCCCGCCAGCCCAGCCTCTCCTCTGTCTTCTCGCCAGCCTTCTGATATGCAAGCAGAGGAAGCCTGTGGTATCTGCCTGGCAGGCCTCAGAGTGCCTGGCTCTCCTGGGCAAAGGCTGAGGGTCCTACCAGCTCATGGCTCTGCGGCTTGCCCTGTAGCTTCTGGTGGTAGTCGAAGGTCAGCCTGTCCAGGACAGCGTGCTCCTCCTCATCCACGGTGGCCATGGAGCGCTCCTTGTTGATCTTGTCGATGTCGATTTGCTCCTCGCCCTCCAGGATGGCACTCCACCAGTACTCCCCCACCTTGTTCAGGTTCACCTAGGGCCAGAGTAGAACACAACCTGAGCCCTCGGGAGAGGCAGCAGTGATGGTTGCAGAGCCTCAGCGAGGGGACAGCTCTCGAGGGGAAGCCAGGACAGACTCAGGGACCCACCAGTCAGTATGCGAAGGGGCGGGCAAGCAGCCGGTAGAGCACTAGGTGGTCAGAGGTTCAGGCCCTGAGCACCCACTCAGAACAAGTTCCGCTAGCCCAGGGAGGGTGGGCTGGGCCTTCAAGAAGATGCTCCAACATGCTAACAAGCGTGCGGCCTGTGCAAACACACCACGGTGACAAATTCAGAGGCTGGACAGCACCTATGCAAAACAGGGAGGAGGAACTCAACACCCACAGGCCTCTCTTCTGATGGGCAACTCCTTCCTTTCCACCAGGCTGGCAACTGCTACGGACGATGGCAGCCACATCGACCATGTCACCACACACACCTACTTCCCACTGCCAGCACCAAAGACCTTCACCTGTCACCCAGCCCCAGCCACTCTGAGCCACTTCTGACAGAGAAAGCAAGTTTTCCAAAAGCCCCTCCTTCCATGTCAGGGGGAAGAATCTGGCTGCCTGAGCTGACACACCCTCACCTGCTAGGCACCTGCTCCTGTGCTACCACAGCCTTCCCCAACCACAGCCACGGAAAGCCTGTCCCCACACACGGGCTTCCTTCACCATCCTTCCTGCCTGGCCAGGCCCTGCCGCCCCACCTAGCTCTGGTCAGCCACCTCCTTATCTGAGTCATCTCTTTCTTGCCTCTAAGAGCAGGAGTCAGTCTCGGTAATTTGGGACCTGGCTCCAGGGGACAGACCTGTCAGCTTGAGGGTTTAACCTGATGTATGAGAGAATCTCTTGGGGTTAACCTCATACCCCAGACTGCATCTCCCCAGGGCCAAACTGGCCAGACATCCTGGCCTCACTCCTGGCCTGCTGGCTCCCTGCCCAGGGCCAGCCCTGCCACTCAAGGGGCCTGGTTACCACCAGGAACCACACTGCAAGGCTGGTCCCAGCCCCCCTCCTCCGCTCCTGCCTGCGCACTAAGGTCCAAGCCTGCTTTGGGGCTGAGCCTGCTCAGGTACCTCTGCCAGAGCCTGCATTCAAACTCATTTCCTGGTTAAGGGAAACATCACTCACCTGAGTCTTGTGATGCATTGCCGGGGAGCTGAGAATCTCACTTCCTTACCACAAAAATGGAAAGAGAGTGAAACCGAACCATCGGAAGCCAGAGCAGAACACCAAAGGCATTGCCCAGTTTAGTGGCCAGGTGCACAGAGGCCAACTCAGCCAGTAACAAGGACCTCAAGGTGACCAAGGTGACACCTGTGGTCACGGCTACAGCTCCCTGGAGGGAGTTCCCCATTTCCCCTGCACTGTCCACTTTTGGATGGGGACAAAACAGCAAGGTGGGGAAGTAAAACAGAAACCACAGGCAACCAGCGAGAGAGGCCCTCCCTCACAGACACATAGCCACAAGGAGAGCACGAGTGGTCAGCTGGGTAAAACCTGCCGAGGTAAATTCAGAAGCCCCAGCCACAGACCGTGACAGTCTCTGCGGAGACGGAGTACGTGCCCCCCCAGGAAGAGCCCTAGAGACCCAGATGTCACCAGCCCCTGCTGTCTCCTCCTACTCTCTGGCAACAATTACATTCACCCTAAAGTGCACACGGGCTTTGAACCAGTGCTGCTAACGAGGCTCCTTCCACCCTCCACCACCTCTAAAGTCCTGCTGCCAAAGAATCAACCAGCCACTTCAAAAAGAGCACGTGTGGCAGCCTCTTACTCCTTTAGAATCCCCTTGGGGAGGAAGCAGGGCTCAAAATCAAAGTTCACGTTCAGTCCCTGAGAAGTGATTTCAACTAATTAAGGGGGTGGGGTTGAGGAGGTGCATGAGGTCATATAACAGAAAGATTTTCAGAAGTGGAAAAAGCAAGACAAAGAATTGCAATCATGACATTAACATCAGCATCTCAGCACATTACCAAAACAAACATCTCTCAACTTCTGGTTTCCGTGGAACAGATATGAGGAATAAAGAAAAGACAGGGTGAGCTGGCCAGCTTTTCAGAGCACCTAACCCTTCCCAAGAACACCAGTTCCATCAGATAAAGTCCAGGTAAGGGATTCCTTCTAATCTGCCACTGCTGCAGTTTAAATTTAGGCTAAATTTTCCGTTTCCAGACACTCTGCTTAGTTGGTCACTGACTGCACCATTTATTTGTAGAGTGGAGACGTGGCCCTCAGAGCCCCCGTGTAGAGAACGGCAAGCCTCTTTACTGAGCTGCAGACCTCAGGCCAATGCAACACAAATCTCCCACGTGGGAACTTCATTCTATTTTCATAACTCTAGGAGAGATTTCTGAGCTCCTTACAGATGGTAAATCGATGGAAAGAAGAGACCTTTTACATTTACTTTACTTCCATCTTCATCAATAATTACCATTTACTGAGCTCTATGCACCGTGTACTGTTAATACTCACAAGCCCCTGTAAGATATACACTATGCCCCTGGGAAGCTCTGTAAGGACCTAAGGTTATGGCATCAAGTGGCAGAGCAGTCTACATGCCAATGTGAAAGCCCAGCTTCCCTGTGCAGGACACCATAGCTGGGTGAAGGGGGTTGACCCAAAGCCATCCTAGAGACTCTTCTTTTTGCTCGTGGACCTTTTTACAGCCCACAAGCCAAACCCAGGGTTTTATGGACCAGGTAAGGACATGTGAGCCAGGCTGAGGGGCACCATAGGGCACAGCAGGAGAGATGATAGGCTTCACTCTGCTTGTGCTCGTGTCCAGAGAACAAACCCACCTGTGTGATGCACACCCCTCCAAAATCAGGAGGCCCGGCACCACTTTCTGAAGGTTTGTCCTGAGCAAACTCTACTACGGCCATGGCAAACACCCTGCCTCATGTGCCTTCCAGTCCTCCTTCAATTGTGTTTCTCATCTATCACCTCTGCACCTGCAGTGGGCTGCCTTTCAGTACGGCGCTCCCTGCCCTGGACTCTGCCAGTCTCTGCACAGCAGCAGACAAGGTCTCTTCTACAAAAAGTTCCTGGGAAGGCCCTGAAAATACCAAGGTAGCATCTACAAAATTTTAATAAATATTTACTTAGTACCCTTAGAGTATCTTCTACTACCCTAATTTCTAGGGATGAGTCTAACAGTAAAAAGAACAATATTAATAATAGTGCTAACATAATAGTTACTGTAAACAAGGGCATTCTAAAACCGTCTTGATGGGCTTTCCTCCTCTCTCTGCAGTCCCCCTTTGGAGACATCCCCATTCCTGCCATTCTGTCTCTCCTCTCTGTGCACAGAGCTCCCAGACATCGAGTTCCAGCGCTTTTCTCTTTCCCAAACTCAACTCATTGGGTTTTTTTTTTTTTGTTAGTTGTTTTAATTTTTTTTTATGGCTCCATGACCCAGAAGTCTTTTAACTAAGACGTTTCTTTATGCTCTGAATTTTTCTCATATTCTACAAACTGGTTTAATTTGTAACCGCTACTGCTGTCATTTTTACATTTAACCATTCTTCTTGAAATAATACTACTGGGTGGCCTAACCTTCAGAAATGTTGATGGGTACAGAGAACACACGGTCTTGTCAGGACCACTTCTCTTCCACACCCCAATGCAGAACGTAGCACCCAAAGGATACAGGGAAATGTGCTCTGAGGGAGTGCTAATGTTTCTGAAGGAATCCATATCTAAAAATAACATCCCTGATAGAGTAGTCTGATTATCTGTTTAACGTTGGTTTTTGTTTCAACATTTGTTACTTTTCTTAAAAGTCAGATTTATGGGAGTATAAGTTGCACATAGTAAAATGCACCTTCTTAGGCGTACACATCTATGAGTTTTGACAAACACAGTCATGCAATCACCATGACAATCAAGCTTCAGAATATTTTCATCACCCAAAGAGTCCCCTGCTTCCCTCTGCAAGCAGCCTCTCGGCCCACCCCAGCCCCTGACACTGGTTTCTGTCCATCTAGGTCCTCCTTTTCCAGATGCCATGCTGGTGGAATCACACAGCCTGCAGCCCTTTGTGCCTGGCTTCCCTCTCTCAGCCATGCCGACATGGGAGTGTCTCAGGAGGGCGCCCTCTGCCGCTCATCAGTGCTCAGTGTTCCAGCATCCAGGGCATGGGCCTCCCACAGTCTGTCCACCCTCCACCCGCTGACAGATGCGGGAGTTTCCAGACTGGCGATTATGTGTAAAGCTGCTGAAAGATTTACATACAGGTCTCTGAATGGACCTATGTCTTCTTTTCTCCTTGGTATACGCCTACGAGTGGTCATGTGCTAAGTGCATGCTGAACTTTATAGGAAACTGCCAAACTACCTTCCAAACAAGCGGGACCATAGTGTGCCCCCCCACCCCCACCCAGCAGTGCATGAGTGCTCCAGTTACCATATGTCCTCACCAACACCTGGTACTTTTTTCTTTTTTTTTTTTTTTGGGGGGGGGACCATTCTAATAGGTATGCAGTAGTCTCTCACTGCGGTTCTAATTTGCATTTCCTTAATGACTAATGATGTGGAGCATACCTTCATATGCTTATCTGCCATCTCATTTTTTAAAAACATTTTATCTGAAAATAATTTTAAAGTTACAAGAATAAAGCAAGTACAAAGAACACCTATACACCCTTCTGCTAGATTCACCCCCTATGCCATATCCTTCTCTGAGTACATATGTAATTTATAATGTAATGTCATACAGTATTTTTTCCTGAACCATTTAAGAATAAGTTGTATGCATCTTGGCCCTTTCTCTCTAACACTTTGGTATTTCCTAAGAATAACGAAGTTCTTTTATATAGCCACAGGAAAGCTCACATTTGAACAATACTTTAGTCTACAGTCTAATCTACCATTCATATTCCAGCTCTGTCAATGGACCCAATCATGACCTTATCTTGTTTCCCCTCCAGCCTAGGATCCATCACTGCACAGTAGCTGTCATGTCTCCTTTAATCTGGAACATTTCCACAGCC